TGATGTGGCATAAGTAACAGAATTTTGTACTTTAATTGTTTCTCGTGTTCAGACTGTGAATTCTAAAGACTGATGTGTTTATTAAAAGAGTAACAAAGACAGTGCTTAAAAAGAAGGGGATAACTACACCTCAAGTCTATCCAAAGCAAATTCTGAGAAGTAAAGTTGAGTTAGAACACAATGAAAGCCAGGGTCCCCCAGTGAAGAGAAAACCAGCTGCAAGTTGCCAGATCACAGTTGGAAGAACACTGTTGTCTAGACACCACCAGGAGGGCCCTCGGGAGGTACCTGGCAAGTGTTCTGTTACTGCTGTTAACCAAACAGTCGATCAAGTAAAACCCTGGCCTGACCAGCACAACTTTGGCTTGTCATTGGCTCTCACCACAAGACTTAGGGCTAAACTCCTCTCCACTGGGTGTGGCAAATGAGCAAAGGAACTACAAGGAACCTGACCCATCCTGCTGGACCACAGGCATCCCCTGGCACCCTGCCAGCCCAACCCGCCAGAGGCAGGCTATCCATGCTCAGCAAGTCTGATAGAACTATTAATCCAGGATATTAGTCATGCTCCTTCTCAGTGTAGGCAGATTCTGAATATGGCCCCCTCAGTGCCTTCTTTCTTTGCACGGGCAACTTTGCACATCAGGGAACCCTCCCCCCTTTCCCTGTTCATCTGGACTGGCCTCAGTGCCTCATTTGACCAATAGAGTATGGTAGAAATAACATTATGAGAACGAGTTATAAAGAAGACCTGAGACTTCTCCCTTGTTATTTGAAACGATTGCTCCTGAGATTTTTCTTCTTGGCACCCACCAGCCATGGTGTGTGAGTCCCAAGCCACAGGAGAGCCACAAGGTCGACAGTCTCAGCTGAGCTCCTGGTCAATCAGCAGCCCCCACTGCATAGGATGAGCTCCCCGATGACCACCCCAGTGAAGCCCTTAGATGACCCCAGCTCAGACTACAAATATTTGAAAGACCCCAAATAAGATGTACTCGGCCAAGACCAGTGGTATCGTAAGAGAGAACACCAGGGTATAAGAACAACAAATTCCACTTTTAGGCCACTGAGTCTGGGATAGTGTGTTACATAGCAATCAATAATGGGGCCGTCCCCCCACCTTGGTGTATTCAGGACCCTCAGGTTATTGTTGAAGCATTAAACAAAATTGTCAATAGCTTTGGTCATAGGATAGAGTCGCCAGATATTTCTACTCTTGAAGAACTGTCCTTTGTTTCATAATTTTTGTAATAAATCAAAAATCTTTTGATGCTAGTTGGTATCTTTCCCCTATTGGTTTAGATAATAAAACAGGGAAAATATAACAAAAAGCAAGTTATTTGGAATGGAATAAAAGAATCATCTTTGAAGATAGACAGATCCTGGTTCCAATTCACACACTTGCCAGTTGTGTGGCTTTGAACGCAGGCAACTTGAATATAAACCTCCACCTCTTTCTCTTATGTTGAGTCTCAAATAGGCTACAGCTGTAAGGGAAGCTCCTTGCACCTTGCCTAGCTTTGTATGGACCTGACGGAAATGAGTGTTTTATATGTGGTTGCTTCCTCTGAATATATCTTTCTTGCTTTCAGTTAGGGAGATTCCCCCATGTGCTTTTAAGGTTGGGAGATCAGTTGAAGTGATAATTACTCACTTGAAGAACCATCTGTCCTTGCTAAGTGTTGGTTGAACTGCCCAGTGGAAAGTAAGACTTGGGTGAGAAGGAACAGGTAGAGAAGATAGGTAAGAGTTAGGAAAAGGCACCCAGCTAGTGTTAGAAAATGCTAGATAACTCATATCACCCACATCATTTTCTTATTGATTCCCTCTTAGTTTTGAACATTTTCTGTATGAAAAACACTGTGGTGAATACAAAGACACATAAGGCATGGCTTCTGATCCAGGGAAGTCACAAGATAGCAGGAGAGACAATGCCATAAACCCTTACGAAGATAAATGATGATACAAAGCAGTAGTAAAAAAAAAAAAAATCACAAGGAAGCATTTCTACACAATGGAAATGGATAAAGGAACAAAATTCCATGGATAGACTGTTTGAATCTGGCCAATGGAGAGCTGTTGTACCTACCACCTAGGGGAGAGTGTCCAGAGATCTTAATTTTCAGAATTATTTCAGAACCACCAACTATTGAGTGGTAGTAGCATGTTCAAATCTGATCTTAAAATATACATGGAATAATGCTTGGAAAACACCTAAGTGATGCAGGAAAGATGCAAATAAAGAAGTTGTTTCCAAAGAGCTTTCATAGAATAGATCTCCAGGGACAGATGTGCTGGGGGGGAAGAGAGTAGATGTGAAACATTCAGTTATAGAAATAGGATCATGAACAATGGATAGCTGAGAGAATGCAGATGTACTAGGTTGAATATGTCACCCCCAAATGCATGTCCTTCCCAGAATCTCAGAATGTGACTTTATTTGGAAACAAGGCTGTTGCAGATGCAATCAGCTAAGAGGAGGTAGGTGGTGCTAGACAAGAGTCAGCTCCCCAGTCATTGTGACTGGTATGTCTAGAAGACAGCAGAGATACAGGCGCCTACAGGGTCAATGCCATGTGTTGACATAGATACACAGAGAGACTGTCATGTGACAGCAGAGGCAGAGATCAGAGTGATGTGTCCACAAGCCAAGGAATGCCCAGGGTTGCTGGCAATATCAGAAGCTTAAAGAAAGGCCAGGGATAGATGTTCCCCTGAAACCTTCAGAGACTTCAGGCTCACTCTCCAGAACTGTGAGAGAATAATATCTGCCATTTGAAGTCAGCAGAGTTTTGGTAGTTATGATGTCGCCCTAGAAAACTACAGAGGTGTCCTGTCTCTCAAGACCTCCTTGTCCTGCTGAAGAGTGAGTGAACTTGTAGCTCTCTGGACCTCTCTACTTCTGTCCTAGGCCTCTGATCTTGCACATAGAGTGACATCTCAAGCTTTCTGGCCCACCATGCTTCTGGCCCCCAAAATGACCCTTCTTCCTTTTCTCATCCTTGAGGCCACCAAGGAAGCTGGCAGGATGAATGCGGAGTCACTGCTTGGGCATCAGAAAGCAGTGACACTAACACTGGCGGTGGACATGCACCTCTGAGCCAGCCACTTGCCAAACAGCCACTGAGCAACTTACCACATCTGGTTCTCTGGGTAGAGCCTTTGATTGGGGTGTATCTGCCACCAGCACTATCCCCACAGCCTGCCATCTTGACTGGTGAGAAGCAGATCATTGAGCCCATCTCAGGTCACAGCAAGACCCTGCTGCTCTTCAGGGCTTGTGTTTGCTGCCAGCCTCAACCCCGGGGCAATTTCTCTGAAACAGCACTGTGTGTCCAGTAGAAAAATATCAAGTTTAACTGGTTCTGTGGCCTGAGTTTTAGAGAATCCAATAGTTGTCTTCCTGACTCATTATAAATGGTCCCACCTGGTGTGTTAGAAGATATCTTTCAAGGAATTCTCCACTGTTTGTCCTCATGGTCTTGCTCTGCTCCTGTGACCCTATAGGGACAAGCCTGGAGGCATAGAGCATGCACAAGAACCTCCCTGACCCCCCAAGGATGAACCTCAGCGTTAGAAGATCCTGCTGCTGCTGAGCACAACTAGCAACGCAAAAATAGAAGTGCTGGTTTGCTGGTTTAAGTCTAGAACAGTGCTTTCCAATACATGGCTACCACCCAATGTGGCCATTTAAATGTAAAATTTAAATATTAAATTAAAATTTGAATTCATGAATAAATTTGTCCAAATCATGTTTATTAAGGTAAAGTTGGTTTACATCTTTGATTCTGCAGTAGGTTATAGGTTCAAACCTCTACAAATGTCTGTTGTCACTGCCTGCCAATCACCAGCATCCCCACATCCTTCCACCAAGTGCCATCAGGCCTCTTCCCTCCCCCACGCCTGCCCGACAGTCACCTCAGTTAACATTTAAATTCAAACTTAAGCTTTAGTTTAACTTTATTTAAACTGGCCCTCCCTGGTGGGCAGCAGGTAATGCATAGCACTGCCACTGTAAGCCAGCCGCAATCATTTCAGTTGAGTTTGATCCCTGGCCAGGGAAGTGAACCACATGGTGCAGCAGAGCATGAGTTCAATCCCCAGCCCCAGACTTGACCCACATGGCGCGGCAGACCTCTCCTGACCCACCTGCTGCTTCCCTCAGCGGTGTACTTCATCAGTTGTCCTGTTCTGCTCCCCTCTCTGTCTCTGGTGAAGCCTCTCACTGCCCCTGCACCTCTGGCCTGTACCCCAGTTCTGTATGCAGTAATAAAAAAATCTTTAAAAAGATTCATTTAAACTAAATAAATGTATTTCATCACTTCCTCATCCTTGGACAAATGATCACTCTGTCTTGGTTTCTCGAGCTATAAAATGACAACCATCTGAGTACAATTTTCCCGAGAGTAGTTGCGAAGACCCAGTGAATTAGCACATGGAAAATGCTGGGAACAGCTCTAGAGCCGTGTCAGCAGCTGCAGGTGGATCAACAAGTGGTGGCCCTCTGGCCCTAAACCTCGAGGAGGCCTTCTGGGGGTGCCGATGCATCTGACCTGGTGTCTCTGCACGGGACTCTATTCTCCCCAGTGCACTGAGGAGCAGGCTGGGGGTGGGAAGTGTCATTAAGGAAAGGCTGGGTTCACAGGCATCCTTATTTATATGTTTAAAAACAGTGGGCAAGTGATGGAGTCGAGAGCTGGGCTTGTGAATGATCAAAATGGCTCAGGGCCTCCAAATCGGTGAGGTGACTGTCTGGCCTGCAGCAGCCGCTCGATGGGCACCCCGGTTGCCCTCTTTAAAGGAACTTTTTACCGTGTTGTTGATTACTGTTGGCATACAAAAGTCTACCTGTGGAGTTTGCATAGGTTTTATAGACCTTATTGCTGAACTGTGAAATTTACCCATACGGCAGCAAAATAGATTTATATTATTCAAGAGTGTGCCACAGTTTTTTCCTGGTATTGATCATTTTTTAAAACCTTTTTTGTTTCCTCCAAAAGCAAGGAGCCCAGCCAGCAGCGAGTGAAGAGATGGGGCTTCTCCTTTGATGAGATACTGAAGGACCAGGTGGGGCGGGATCAATTCCTACGATTCCTGGAGTCCGAATTCAGTTCAGAAAACCTCAGGTAAATCCCTCAAAGCCTTGACCTATATGCAGAGAAATATTGATGCTCATCTCTCTCTCTCTCTGCCCACCTTTCTCGATAAAATGTTGTGGTTCAAATTCAAATTTTAGCTGTTCTAGCTAAGGCTGACATGGAGCTTTGTCATCACCATGTTAACATCTCCCAACACCAGCGTTTTTGGTTCTTTTGGTCCAGATGATATTTTTTCAAGTTATTGAAGACATGTTTTCAATGATAAGAAAATGGTCAAGTGGATTTGATCACACCATCTATTAGCTGAAACCATAGAACCAGGGAGCTCCAGAACAGAAGAGGCGACCGAAGGCCTCTCCATCAAAACGCCCCAGTCTGGAGTCCTATAGACTCAGCAGACTAACTAGAAGGAAAGAGGAGATGTGGGATCCACTCAGAATTTCAAAAATCGAAACTAAATAGCATTCGATCAATGGAGGCACAACCATGAAAGTGAATGAAATCAAGCTTTTCCTTTAACAGGAAATCTATCCATCTACGTATCAGTTAACCTGGTTTTTATGCCAGTGAGAACATCTGATTGTTCCTGTTGGTCCTGACCAATCAGAATGAGGGAAGTGGATTAATACAGGAATGCTGTAATTTAAAGAAAAAATACAACTTTTGAAACACAAGGCCCACTGTGAGAAGAAGAAAAGGAAAGACATTGGTTACAAGGAAGGGGCCCTTGGATTCCTTGAGAGACTCCCATGGCATTTCATGGAACATAGAGACCTAAGGAAAACTTACTGCTTACTAAAGCCCCTTTAGTAATCTTAGCGAACTGGTGACTTCTCAATGGTTCAGATGGAAATCTCAGTTTTTTCTTTCTGGCACCAGGGTCTTTTCCATATATGGAAAACCACTGGTCTTTCCATCAAAGAGTGGCTTTCCATCAAAGAGTGGCTTTATTAACTTTTTAAAAATAGTCCTTAACTTTAAAAAGTCAGAGCATATGTAGCAGGTGAAAAACTGTTCACTGCAATATTAATGTACAAAATCCATTTTATTTATTTGGTGTTGGAGACCCTATCAGGCCCACACATCAGTCACGTGATATTTATAACACACTTGTGCTGTTTCAAGAATCTGCTGAGGGATGCAGACAAATCAAGATTTGGGATCTCGGCCTGCAATGATCTTGAAGGTCCTTGAGGAAAAAACATGAGAAACTATAAAGTCATCAAATGAATAGAAACAAGTGTAAACTCCGAAAAACCTTTGTTAAGGGTTTTATTTACTTATTTATTTATTTTACTTATTTATTTATTTTAAGATACTTTATTTACTTATTCATACAGAACTGGGGTACAGGCCAGACGGTAAGAGGATTCACCAGAGACTGAGCAGGGCGCAGAACAGGCCAATGGACGAAATACACTGCTGAGGGGAACAGCAGTAGACAGAAGAGGTCTGCTGTGCTATATATGGTTTAGCTTCCTGGCCTGGGATTGAACTCAGGCCACAGTGGCTTATGACAGCTTGACACTGCTCTGACTTGAACCCCTGTGCCACCAGAAAGCGCCTGGAAATGTTTTGCAAAGGCAGGAAAGAATGCAAACCAGAGTAGGCCAGTCCTAAACTATACTCAGAAAAATACACAGGACACCAGAAAAGAGGGAGGGAGCCCATGGGAACGAAAGGCCCCCTGAGCAGAGCTGGAGCAGGGCCTCTCCCCACCGTGAAGTCCAGGTGACATGCAGGAGCCGTGAGCCGGGGACAGCGGTGCCTCTCGAGGCAGCCTCGTGCCTGGTGTAAACCAGATGAGCGTTGATGCACACGTTCTTGGCTTGTGCTGAAACAGCTCAGAGTTTTGTTTCAATTCCTAACGGAGCATTTGTGGCAGAGGCTTGACTGTTAACACTCCTCCTTAGGGTGGCGCTCAGACAGTCTACCGGGCTGTGCCTGGAGGTGGGTCCCGGGGCCAGCATGATGCTCCAGGCCTCTTCTCTATGGGCCCAGCCCAGCTCTAGGGCCTACCCCAGGGGTCCTTCCCATCTCTCCTCATCCTTGTGCCCCAGGGGGCCCCATGATGAAGTAGTATAGAGGTCCCTTGTCCCCCACTATTCCTCAGTCTGTGAGTGGCCATACGACCGTCTCCCACCGGCGCAGGGACAGACACTTGCAGAATCACCTCAGGGTGCTGCTCTTTGTGAGGGGCCCGGGAGCCCCTGCTGGCTCAGCCCTGCCCCGCCCAGCCTAAGTGCAGCTGGAGCTCTGGGGTTCAGGCCTGCCTCAAGATGTGCTTCACCATCAAGGTCTGGGGCCAGAGGAGTGAGTGTCTGGGGTCCGCGCCCTCCTGCCAGCCCCTCTTCTGCCTGTGCCAGCGCCGTCCTCCCGAGCCAGGAGGGCGACACTCCATCTTGTGGCATGGAGTGTGTGTGAGCATGTGTGAGTGTGTGGGACCTAATCCACACCCCCAGCATGAATACATAAACCCGGACTTAGAAGGGTCCCCTCTGATCCATGACAGGAGAGAGGATAAGGAAAATAGAACAGCCAGCGATAAAATGTATAGCCCGGGAGCTTCTAAAAATCCTTTCTGGAGGCCCAAATTCTACTTTTATGACATTCAGCATAATTGGGTATATGGGGAGGAGCTCAGTTTTAAATCGTACAACTTTAGGATTCTTCAGTCACCACAGCCAGGTGGCTTCTCCCCTCTCCCTTTGTGCTCATTCCTTCGGCCTCAGATACTGGTTTAGCCCCTTTGCTGGCCCAGGACCAAGGACTGGGAGCAGTTTTTAGCCCTCGCCCAGGGCAACCATGTGGGCTGTGCAGAGTCACCTGCTCTGTGTTCCATGTGGGTGGCGCCCCTGGGAGCCGCAAACTGTGGCCCATCTGTTGCACTGGCCACCCTGTGGCTGTCACTTCTGCCCAGAAGTGATCTGGAGCCCAGGCAACTGGCACTGGAGCCAGTTGGCACTGGAAAACAGAAAGAGGCTGATGAGGAATGCATTGCCAAGGGCCCTTCCCCTTCTGTCTCCTGTGTTCCACACATCTTCCCGAAAGGAGTACTTCTGCAGGACACCCAGAAAACATTGCCAATCAAGTAGCCAAGTGGGTAAATTTATACAGAGCTTCAGAACAGAGGAGCCTCAAAGAGAGCTGGGTGTTGCCTCCACAACAGCAAAGCGCCCTGGACTCCTTCAGGAGGATAGCTCTGTAATATAATGCAAGTGGAGGTCTCCTTTGATCAGTTTCCTCTGGGTGCACCTGCAGATGAGGGAGGCATGGTCCCTCCAGGGCATGGCAGAGGCATGACTGCCCCTCTGCATCAGACAACCTGTGTGTGATTGTGTGCTCCCTGGAGCACCCTAAGCCGGGCCCAGGTTTCCACTCGGTGGCATGAGCCCCCAGAGACTGTTTGCTTGAGACCTTGGGGATGTATGTGGTCTCTCGTCCACAAGGTGGGAGGCTCTCAGTTCTGAAGTTGGGAGCATCAGCAAGTCATCAGGCCTGGGCCTTCTCCCTGCACACCATGCTCTCCTGAAGAGTGAGGGGAACCCCTTGCTGCCCTGGCCCCCTCTTTTTTCCTCTCTGCCACCTTTGTCCTTCCTGGCTCAGCATCCCCTGCCATGTGGCAGGGCACGAGTTAAAAATCAAAACCTGCAGCAAAGCGCGTCCCCCGTACATTTTTTATGAGCTGTAACGTCTCCTGAGAGAACGCGGTTGTTCTTCTAACCTGCAGATTGATTATCCTAGTTCCACACAGTGTCAGCTGAAGAGAGAAGCAATTAAAGAGAGCGCAGGGGAGCTGCCAGGCTCGCCTGGAGAGCTCCCATCTCCGACAGTTGCCCTGAGTCCTGGGAAGACCTCGGAAGGTTCACCAGGCCCGGCGGGATTTACCGCTAACCAAACACATGATTAATCTGAACCGAGGTGACTTGTACCCTGCGTGACAATCTGCAGCCTTCAGCCATTGCCCGGTGAGACAACTCAGCTTCTGTGGCCTGATGGTGGTGATGGCACCAGAGGTCCCAGCCCCACCAGAGATGAAGTCTGGTGGAACCCGCCTTCCTGTGTCTCCGCAGACCAGCAGAGGGCACAGAAGCCCTTCCTTCTGCGTACAGTGTGCTTTGCTCTGGGAGTGAACTAGAAACTCAGTTTTCCTAACCATAAAAATCCTGGTTGATGAAAAAATCGGTACGCTTGAAAGTGAGGTGCTGCTCCAGAATGACCACCCTGCTTCATTCCCTTTGTTCTAGCCAGCCGTGAGGAAAAACACCCACTTCCCATCAGCATCTGGTGCTGAGAGAAAGGGGAGGCCTCCGGGACAGCCCTGGTCTGCCCACAGTGCGGTCCACGGCCTCCTGGCCTGGTGCTGTCTGAGCCCAGCACGCTTCTCCCGGAAAGCCCGCTCCAGCCTGCATTCCTAAGCCGGTGATACGGATCGCATGCCAGCACGCCGGCTGCCTCTCGTGGCTCTGACGACCCAGGCGCGGCGGGACAGGTGGTCTTGCTGATACCAGCATGTCCTTGCGGCTTGCCAGGCACGACAGCCTTTCGGCTGCGAGCAGAGGCTTAGTGCAGGATGGGTGGCTTTGACGCTGCTGCTGCAGTTGCTGCTGGCCTCAGGGAGGAGCGTACCTGCAGGCTTTTGATAAGAGCAGAAGCTGCTCAAGCCCCACCGCCCAGTCGCTGTCTATGTGCGGAGGGGAGCTTTTGTGGTTCCTTGGGGGGGGGGCGTGAGGCCAGACAGCCGGGGCCCTGAGCTCCCAGCTCAGGCCTGTGGGCTCACAGATGGCAAACACAAACCGAAGCCTGTTTTGAATTTCAAATTGACACAAAGGTTTTGCAAAGCCAGTGATGGTAAGCACATATGGGATATCAGGATGCTGTTGTGACAGCATTTTTACTGTCACCTGAGAGGGATAAGGCAGGTCATCTCCAAGGCAGACAGAAGGCAGAGAGGGTCCCCGTGCATGCAAGGAGAGAAAAACTGCTGTCTAGGGAACGTCACCCCTCCCTGTCCTCCTGCGTCCCCTCCTCCTGCCCTTTCCCCTCCAACACACCATTGTTTCGCTTTGTGTGTGTGTATGTGTGTGTGTGTGTATTTTAATTCTTGGTTTTCTCTGACAAAGGGAACCTTTTAATTTTTTATGTAAAAGTTTATTAAATTTGATTCTGAGATTTCCATTTACATCAGCTGCAGACCTCTCAAAGCCCAGCTAAGCGGCGTTCATTTATGTGGTTCCCCAAAAGGTCCCTATGGCCTCATGAGCCACAGGGAGCTGCACACCGCTGGGTCCTCTGACCTTCCCAAAGGGGCGTCCTGGCTCCTGCCCTGAGCACTGACTAGAACAAGGAGCAAGGGCTAGAGGGTGAAGCCATACATGACAGTGATGGAAGGAGCAGAAAGTCCCCTCTGGGACTTTGTGAGAAACTGCCAAGGCTCTGGAGGACTTGGGAAGGATGCTGGTCCAGGGAAGTTGCTTCCAGCCCCTGAGAGAGGGCGGCCAGAGGCGACTCCCTGAGAGAGGGCGATCCTCCATCTGCCCTAGGCCAGGACTCACTGACAGTCTTGATGGGTTATCCATTAGCACTCTTTCCAGTCCTTTGAAAAAATCAGCTCTTTTCTTAGGTGCTGGGTTTACTAAATCTCACCTGCCAAACACAGTGCTCCAGGAGATGAAGGCCTGAGAGATACTGTCAGCACCAGTAGGCCATTTTCACCTTTACACATCTAGCCACCTTCCTTTCGTGGTGGGCCTGGAGGGTGGGACAGAGAGGCCTCAGAGCAGGCCTGGCAGAGGGAGAACTTGGGCCCTGCTGAGGGGCAAGGACCCTCCTGAACAATTGGAGCTAACACCTCCTTTCAGACACTCCCTGCCCACCCCTCTAGCCTCTGGTGAAGGCCCCATTGTTGTGGACTTCTACCTTGGGGGCCAGAGGACATGAGCGCCAAACACCTGGGAACAAAGAAAGGTTTGGCACTGAAGAGTGGGTGCTGACAGGTCCCTCAGGGAGAGTGAGATGAGGTGCAGGGGTTTGGGCCTGGCTGTGTTGAACCTGTGGCCACCACACCGGCCAGCCCCTTCGTTCTGCACTCAGCACCCGGCAGCATTTCGGGTCTAGCCTGCACAGGAAGTTCCTCGGGCTCGTGTCACACATCCCCCACCACTGTGAAGGCGGTTTACAGATGAGGGAGGCGATGCCAGGGAGTGCAACAGTGCAGATGGCAGCATTGCCAGGATGAGGACAGGGCTGCACTTCTGATCTTCCAGCTGAGTGAAGTCATTAGGGTATTAAGTTTCCTTCCTGCCTCTTGCTGTTCAGGATCAATGAGGGAACCATGATGGTTTTCTTTAAGGAGATCATTAGAATCGCAAATGGAAAATCAAGGGAAGCCTTGGAGACAGGCAAACACACACACACACACACACACACACACACACACAAGCCTTCTCTCCTTGTAGACACAGAGCTGCAATACCTCATCTAGCCACTGAGTGGTGTGTTTGGGCCATGCACTTGGCTCGAACCACATTTCTCTAAACAGCAACAGAAAAATATGTTTAACCTTTAAAAAAAAAAAGTACATCTTACTTTGAGTGAAAATCAGTGACAGATTGAATGCACTTTCTACCATGTCGTGGCTCAGCTTTTGTCCCTGTCCTTTTGTTGACTTCATGTGGTTCCCATGGCTGTGAGAACCCTTAGCCAGGGGACTGGCCTCATACCTCATTGATGGGGAAACTGCACCACCCAGACCTGGATTCTCCTGAAAGAGCTCCCCAACATGCTTGGAACCATCCCGGAGACATGGGGAGCAGTTGTCCAAACTTTGCTTCTGTTCACTGCAGTTCTCAGCAAAGAACTCATACCCAGCTCTCCCAGCAGACGTTGCCATGCTGATGTTGAGGGCTTCACAAGAGGCAAATGTGGAAGATTTTTCTCCCTGGTGGTCCCTAAAGAATCTCTGGTCAGAGTGATCCCCCATGTGACTCTTCAGCTTTGTTCCATCCCACAGCTGCTTATTACACTCCCTTGCATAAGCCAAGCACTAAACACTGATATTGAGAATCAGCTCAGTTTCTTTATCTCTAACATGAGTGGCTGGGTACTTCCAGCTCAGATTATTTTACAATTCCCAAAATCTATCTGCTTCTATGATCTTTCCTTTCTTTTAATGCCTCCAGCTGATCCCAACTACATCATGGCATACATCATGGCATCAATGTGGCTCTCAGTCAGGGGTGATTTTGCCTCCCAGGGACATTTGATAATGTCTATCATTGTCACATAGTGAGGATGGGTGCTGCTAATCCAGAACTATACAGCTATAGCATTAAAAAGACAGTACCTCATAGAGGACAGGTCTGTGTGTGGCTTCTCAGCTATGTACACAATTGCAAGACCACTCAGGCTCAGAGAACAACAAATAGAGTTTATCAGTTGGGTAGAAGCTGAAGTTGCCCTACAACAGTGTCATCCAGCCCAAACCGGCAATAGCATTGGAGAAAATCTTATGGAGAGAGAAAGAAGACTCTGGTAACCAGAAATACAATGATATTCGAATGTGTGCTGCTTTTCAGGTCTCCCTTTGCACTTTCAGCAGTGTGTAACCCACAGAGTGATAGCAGGGTCTATCACCAAGGGTCTCAGAGTGAGTTTCA